CTTAGGTTGACCGGCAACTCTAAGTTTCCCCTAGGAGTGGATGTGAGTGTGCTTGTTTGTCTGCATGTCAGCCCTGTGATAGACTGTAGACCTGTCCAGGGTGGACCCCGGCTCTCCCCCAGTGTCAGCTGGGATAGGCTCCAGCGCCCCCGTGACCCTGTTCAGGAATAAGCTATATACATAATTGATGGATGGATGTATTGCAGTGGTCACTGTAACAAAGAAAATCTAAACAAAACCTGTGCAATTCATCACTGGATAAGGACAGACAATTTGTATCTCTTTGTTTACATCAGAGTAGTGCCAGGTAATTACTTATGTCCTACTACTTTTCAGTAATGACTGGTGTAGGGATTGGAATTCTCCAAAGGTTGCTAGTCACTGTGTTACTGTGTTGCTTGAACACAATATAAATTTTGTCCTGGTTGAGCTATCTTACCAGGTACATATCAGTCACTAGCTAAAGAGCTAAAGCTTGATTTGTGGTTCTGCGCTGAATCTAAATAGACCCTATGCCGTAAGCTACATAAGTGGTCTACGCCGTTGTGAGCATTTACACTTTTTCGCTGGTGTCTGTGCTGCCCTGCAATTACACCAGCAAAGTGTTAATTGGCAGTGGGGTTTCTGTGCCACTGTGTTGCACACCTTCACTACTTATGAACAATGGCAACTTGAACTGAGCAGGTAATGTAGGAATTAAAACTAACAGATGAAGAACAGCAGTTACTTTTACTGAAATTAATGCAACTCAGATATGTGAGAAAACATGATGATCTGTATGGCCAGTGAAGCAACTGAGGAAGAACAGGGGGGATTTTCCATGTTTGTCCAGCCACTGAAAGACATGAACAAATGTGATGCATCCATGATAAGCTTGTATTGTGACGAAACTGCTGATATACACTCCTAGTAGTTATATGTCAGTGCAGTCAAATAAAAAAGGAGGCATTGGAGTTGTTTAAAAGCATCTTTGATGGGTTTCACAGCTGAGTAGTAACATTTAATTAACACATCATGTAATGCATCACCTTTACTATAATAACTGAAAGCACAATTTCTGACAATGGTCTACTGCACTGGAAGGGGTGTCAATACATTTCTGAGATTTTTTTTCCCTTCTTATCATCGTAACACTACAAAGTTAGCATGTGTTCTGTGAGTGAAATGATTATTTCTCACAAAGTGTAGTTGCTGTTTGCATATTTTTGTTGCATAAGAGCACCTGGGCACCACACTCACTCATTCACTCACACACACATACATATCTTTATGCCTTTGTGTGGCCCACGTTCTGTGACTTCTTTGTGAGGGCCACCACTTCTACTATAGCTACAATGGTGCAAAACACAAATCTATCATGAGGTGGCCATAGAGAATCAAAATGTCACTTCAGAATTCAGAAAACTCGAAAAAAAAAAATCTTTTTCTTCTACACGTGTGAGGACCGGAGCCCATTGCCAAGCAGATTTGGTGAACTAAACCTTCTGTCACAAAGCACCAAAACAATGCATTTTATATATCACCAGATAGAGTCAGGTCTCTACCATATGTGTTAGGATGGCTCGAACACGGAAGTGAGCGAGTCACAAAAATTGACGGACCCAGGTGGCTGACTTCAATGCAGGCAGTGCAAGTTTATTTACAGTGTAAAACAAGTGACCAAGAAATGAACAGACGAGTAACACTGGGACCGGGTGTCGAGCTTCGGATGGGAACACAGTCAGTGGTGGAGATGATGAGAAGAGGACCGGGCTGCGGACACTGGGACTCACTCCTGGACTGGTCGAGTTGGATGGTACTGAAGAGGAACAGAAATTGTACATATGGTAAGTAGGAGACTGTGCATCGACCTGCAGGGTGGTGATGAAACAGAGCGGAGGAGGTCCGTGGTCCGAAGGAGCAACTGTGGCGAGAAGGGAATGAATCTAAGCAGCTGGAGAGAAGGAGACAAAACTAACACAGAATCAAAAAGAACGACGGGGAACAAACGGGCCTGAGAAATGCTAGAAAGAACTGGCAGGGGAGTGAACGAAG